CCAAGAAAGGGCTGGGGAGGGATTGTGAAAGACACCAGACTCCCAAGATGTCTGTGTTGCCATAATGCTCCTCTGCTCCGCTATGCATTTGCACATGGTCTGCTGCCAACTTTTTTCTTAAGAACCCACTCCCAAATCCTCTCTGCATTATGTTCCTTGGAGCACTGCTTTGCATAAGAGTCTATTTCTTGGAAAAGCTCAATGGGGAAAAATAGAACAAAAGGGGCTCTGATGGCTTAAGCATAAGCTATCTGAGTGTAACTGGCAGGGCGGAGGAAGAAGGAGCAGGCCTGGTGGGAGGGGTACATGCCTTTGGAAGAGGCCCAGATTTGCAGACTTCTCGGGGATGGGCTAAAATCTCATATGAAGATGGCTCACGGCCTGATAGATCTGGGAAGAGCTGTGTGGATGAGGGTAACAGGCTAATTGCTTCTCTAGCCTTGCTACTCAAGACCATCTGTCTCAGTACAAACTCCCTTGGCCTGCCTGGTCTGGGAGCAGTGTGGACACCTTTTTTCTTCCTTCTCCAGAAGAGTCTGGAAGGTCTACCTACCAGTCTCCATCCCCCCCTAATTTTACCTTGGATGGAACCCTGCAGTAGAGGGGCTGCAGGGTAGTCTTGAAATGCCATAGTCTACATGGGCTTAATAACCTAGGGAAGTTTTTCACTTGCTTCCTTAGCTCCTGTGAGGTTCCTAGTTTTCAGGTCATTGCTTGCAGAAAAACACATAGAGCATTTGGCCACCCAGTCTTGACTTGGCGTGTGTGGGTGGTGTTAACCTTGTGTCCAGTGTGTGTGGCTATACTTTCCTGGGCTGTTTGTATTGTGGTGAAACTTAGGGCTTGGACCTCAACAAAGTCCCATGGGGGAGCTAGAGGGCTGGTGACAAGAGATCACCTGTTTAGGAATGTGTAGGCTCTGAAGCCTGGCGCTTGGGGTACTGGGCTGCTGAGTATTCGTGCTCACAGTGATATCTCACAAGTGACCAGTAGATGGTGCTCCGACAACAGGAAAATACAGCTACTGGCCCTCAGGCAGGAAGGGGATTTTCAGAGGGTCTCCAAACTGGTTTCCAATCGCTGATTTTCTGTATTTCCACGTGTGGGTCTTTAAGAGAACAGTGCAACTAGGGACACAGGGAGAAGAATGCTCACCAGATTCCATTATGAAGAGTATTACTGCAGTGATCTGATCATGAACTTTTGCTAAGGATCCTCTTGGATCTTGAGGATATAGATATATTCCCTGTTAAGCATCTTCCCGGCATGGTGCCAAGAGCATTTGGACACTGATCAAATTCAATTTGAGGATGGTAAGCATAGCATTTCCATAGGCTCAGTGTCATTGTATAGTTTCTTTTCTTGATGATGAACAATCTGGAATTATGCTATTATTGCCCTAAAGGGCAGCATGGTTTTTAGAAAGAGTCACAAACTAAAAGTCGGGTGTGTTAGAAGCCTACACTCTGTTTCTTATCAGATGTGGGCAGACGGCTTCACGTTGCTGAAACTGCTTTGTTTGTCTAATCAGGATCACGGTAACACGAGTAGCCAGAGGTTTGGAGTGGGGATCAGCTGTGGGGTACATGTAAGCAAAAAACTATTCAACACATAGTATTCAACCGCTGACATTGTAGCCATGTTGGGGGCTGGGACAGTGGGAGGACTGGAGAGCATGAAACCAGTGTAGACATTCATAGGTCTCAAAGCTCTCGAGAGCTTTTCAGGTGTGGGGGGGAGGTGGAAGATGAGAGTGTGTCTTCCTACCAGCGTGACTGCTCTTAGGCCCAGTTCCCTCCCAAAGCTGTTTATGCCATTGTGTTTGCTGTTCTTTTTGGCTGCACCCTCCAAGAATTGTCTTTTTACCTCCCCTACATGGGTGCTCATGCTCCCAGTATATTTTATATGATCCCCAACCTATGCATTTGCAATCCCTGTCCCCTCGAGAGGCCACAGGGCAGGTGTTAACGGCAGTGGATCCTCACATTTCCCTGGGTAATTTCCTGTCTTGAGTATTCTGGGTCTCTAACGAATCACAGCAGCCACAGAGAACATAGGACGTGGTAGAGAGAGGAAAGGGAATTAGTAGTGGGTCTCTGCTGAGTGGAAGGCACTCAGAGACAAGTCAGGGATCTCTGGTCTTCCAAGAACACTTTTAGGAGGTAAAAGGCTAGTGAGACCTGCTGACCATAGACATTCACAAACAGGCACACCACCTTCTAGCCTACTAGAGCCGGGTCATGAAGGAAAGGGGTGAAGTCATAGCATGAGAGTGAGGTCCGTAAGGCATTTGAGTCTGTGAAGTTATACAACCTGACCTAATCTAAGAAGAAGAAACATTACTTATGTCATCATCCATTTTGTTTATTATTGTATCCTCAGTGCCTACAACAGTGGCATTCAAAAATATTTGTCAAATGAATGATATGTATGAATTTCCTGCTATGGGTTATGGCCTTACCTGAAAGTAGGGACATGTACCTGATAATTTCCAAAAGCCCTTTCTAATCCAATGCTGTCTACAGGGAACCAAGACAGCCACTTGGGACTAGCTCTAAATGACTGACCTGCTCACGGGACTTCATAGTTCACAGCACCACCCTCCTTTTCACTTCTGTCTAGGTATTAGGGACAAAAGAGGACCCTCTGATTAAAACAGGAGAAAGGACAAAGTAAGGCAGACATGTGGAATCAAAACAATTAGCACTGACTCGCCTTGAACAGTAATTTGGCCTGAAATGGGCTCCCCTGAATCGAAAGGCCAACATGCTGTCCCCAAGGGCAGTAGTGCCTGCTGGAGATAGACATGCTGAGACCACTCCTTTGGATTTCCAGTACTCAGAATTTTCCTTCATACACACACATACTCACATATATTCTCACACAATAGACACGTGTCCGTGCTCACATGGCCTTGCCCACACACAGACACATACACATAGGAACACACGTGCCATGCACTCAGATGTCACTCGCTTCTCAGCAGTGAATCTCACACACAGAGACACTGACTTTCACACACATGAAGCCACACTCACCCATGATTTCCAACCTCTGGTCAGTCTCTTTGTTTCCTTCCTGAGCCCCTCCTTTCCCTTCTCCCCTCCATTGCTCGGGTGGGGAGCATTTGGACAGGACTATGTGTTCAGGCCAAGGCAGGAAAATGCAGAGGAAGGTGTGCCCCCGCTAGAAAGGACATGGGAGGAGACAGCTGGTCCCTGTCCTCAGCTCAAACCACCAGTCACCTATGGGGGAAGGGCCTGATTGCTGAACACAGGAGTTCTTTTTCTGGGGTTTGGAGTCCACCTTTCACCTCTGCAGCTCAGATACTAATTATGTTTTCTCTACGTTAATGGGGTGGGTTTGAGAAAGTCCCTAGAGCTTACTTGGGAGTAAAAGATGGGGTCAGGAGAATCCTCCTGACTTAGGATTTCCAAAAGGGTAGTTTTAGCCCATAACTCACCATCTATGACCCTAATAACCTGGATCTCTTTCCAGGAGAGGAGGGGCAGGGTTCTGCTAAAAAACCTAGGAGGCCGTCCCACGAGGGTAGAAACTCCCACTAGGCGCTAGCGCGAATACTAGAGTGTGGCGTCGCCAGAGGTCCCAGGCTCCTCCACGGAGCCTCCGGGGGTCTAAGTGGGGAGACGGGGAGAGGGTGCTGCCTTCTCCGTGGCAATCCCGGGCAGT